CGGAATCGAAGGAGATTACCTCGGAAACAGCGTCAGCATGAATATTCCAGTAAAGCCAATCGACAGCTGGCCAAGAGGAATCTGCCATCATTTTCTGGTGGAACCGACCTACGAGTCTCTTCACCCAACACCTTCACTCGAAATGAAAATAAGCTCGATAAAATCTTTTACTGTGAGTCATTTTCTAGCATAGCGAAGCTTTCCCATTAAGAAGTTGGCAATTACCCCATAAATCCCTACTTCGCCTTAAGCGTATTAAGTTGATTTAAGTCCTGTGACTTAAAGAAGGCCACAATTTTCAATGGTTTCTTTCTCTGTGCTAATTAAAAGACACTCTTATGCATTCGCCTGATTCGACTTACTTTGCATATGCACTTTTCCCTCTCTACCACAATCGTGCCCTCTGCATGACAGACATGTCGAGCTGGCTTCGGTCCTGCCGGTTCTTCCCCAGAATCAGGGCCAATTGGCTTCTCTTGCTCCTCGCAGCCGATGCCGGCCGGGGGGCTTTTGCCATGCTGTCTGGCCAGCTCACATAGGTCGCAATTGCTCGGCAACAGGGCACCGGCTTCGCGCACCTCACACCTGCAATTGTATCCGAGTCTGGCATACTTGTCTGCGACACACTGGTTTTCGGCGCTGATGGGGCATAGGAGTAAACAATGAACAGGCTACGAAGTAAAGTGGATAAACGAAGCGTTACTGGATTTTGATGAATCTCCTTGGATAACATTGTTGGGGGAGACTTTTATTTCGTATCAAAGTGCATGAAGAGCAGATTGGTAGATCGATCTCACTAGAAGAGGACACTTGAATCACATTGTACTGCAGCCGTTGATGCAGTCCACGATACATCCTCCTTCGATTTGGGCGAAAACGGGCTGAACATTTGCCGATCATATGATGGACATCATCAGAGCTGGGTCTCATTCTTGTACAAGAATCACGTTAACACTAGGATAATAAGACTATCCGGATCTATCTTACCTCTTATTTAGACTGAATTAAGCAAAAGAAAATTAAAAAAACCTAGATAGATATATAATGGTTTGGCTAATTATCTTTCGTATTGGTGCTGCTACTTTTTTCGAGTGTGTGTGCGTGTTTCTGTGTGTTAGCGTCTATACGCAATACTGGTCCTAAATCAGAGTTATTAAAAGGCTAATGTCAGGCTCTGATCATCAAGGCCTAATAGTCCAAGAGTAAGCAAGTATGGTTGAGATAATAAGATATAAGATTGTAAGTATGTAGATCAAGTTACGAAACCACTTGTCATTGACGTTTAAACCCTCAAGGAAAGACATGACTAGGGCTGCGTAACCTGGCACATACGCACACACACAGACACTCGAATGAAAGTAGCAGAGCTAATACGAAAGATAATTATTTTCGTATATAAGCAGAGTTTCGAGATAATTATCTGAACCCTTATATATAAATCTATGTTTCTAATTCTCTTTTGCTTAACTGAGTCTGTATACGAGGTAAGATAGAAGCCGATAGTCTTCTTGCCTTAGTGTTAACTTGAGACCTTTACAAGAATGAGTATAGATCTGATGATGTCCATGATAGCTCAGCCCGTTCTCACTGGAGACGATGGCAGATGTCTCGTGAACTGCGTCATACTGAACGTCGTATTAAAGCTAAACGACTTTAGTACAACGGGATTTAACCGTCCTTTTCTAGTGTGATCGACCTATGAATCTCTTTTTCATGCACTTTCATGCAAAATGAAAGTTCCATCAACAATAAAATGAAGAAGTAAGCATCAATAAAATCAAAAAGTTGAAAAAATATACATAAAAAGAAGGCCAAAAATGTGTTAATAAACTTTGCATCATATACCAACGACATTAAGTACTTCCTTATTTTCAATGAATCAAGTAAAAGCAGCTTTATAAGTTTTCATCAAAAGTCTGTACCATTTTCGATGTGTTTGTGGAAATAGTTTATTTACTTATTTCTCCTAATACTGAACGAATCAACTCTCCCAGACCTCACAATTTCATTTTATAATTTTCGGATTCTTGAGGACCGGCAATCTTATATTTTATATGAGTTGTGTTCACTTTATTTCATTCAAGATAATGAAGGACTGGTAGTTGATTTTTCCCACGATGATAAAAGTTGAGCTGATATTTTCCATTGAATTTCACATAATCTTACTTTTACAAAAGGTGTTCTCATCCAGAGTGAAATGCCATTTCGACCTCTTATATGTCTTATCAACAACCCAAAAGCGCAAGTCGAACCATGATAATGCAGCGTGTAAGCTCGACACGTTAACTATTACGCCACATTGTCACAAGTGATCTTGACAATCACCTTAAACGAAATAGAGTGAACACAACTCATATATATTATTTACTGGTAGTCTCGGAAATCTACTCATTTACAAAAAAAGCAATGGCATCGATTGCTATAGCAAATA